ATATATATAAATATATAAAATATATGAAAACTTGATGTGGGTACTTAAATGAAAGGTCTCGATGAGTGTAACATCGAAATGAGTATATATCTTAAAAAATGTCAATAATTATGAAATGACATTGTATCTTGTCAACTATTAACATTTTTAAAGATATAAGCTCATCCTGATGTTACATATTCATCGAGACCTTTCATTTAAGTACCCACGTCAATTTTTCATATATTTTATATATATGGTATTTGTGGAATATATAAATATATAAAATATATGAAAAATTGATGTGGATACTCAAATGAAAGGTATGGATGAGTGTAACATCGGGATGAGCTTATATCTTTAAAAATGTCAATAGTTCACAAGATACAAGGTCATTTCTTAATTATGCACCTAGAGATACAGAATTCTCAAATGCAGCCTAAATAATTATCATCATAAATTGACTTTTGGTGAGAATGATATGAAACCTTGAAAAGGGACAAATTTAAGTGAAGAATTTTCTAATAATATCAAATTTAACCATAAAAAGCCACAAAATTTTGTTTATTCTCTTAATAAAATATATTAATTGTTTTACCCGTGAAAAATTTGCATATATGCTCTGATATGTTTATCTTAGGCTATGCATTAAAACAAAAAAAAATTTTTTTTTTTTAAATGTATTAAATTAAAAAATTGGTTTAATAGTTAATCAAACTAAAAATTAATAAACTAATTAAAAAACTAATAAGCATACAAGTTTCTTAAAAGAATAAAAAAAATTTTTTTATTCCATTATTTAGAACCTCAAAATCAATTCTCTTGTAAGGAAAAAATTCAGCGACCATGCGCCATCTGTAGGATATTTTTAACACTATCTTTGATTGAAAAAATATATATGAACATATATGACCATATCAGGCTATATATTGGTATATTAAGTCATATCAGGATATAACAAAAATAATATATAACGGTATTAGAAAATTTTTTCATGAGTTAATTTATTTAAATGAATTCGTGGTCTACTTAATAAATATCAGTAACCAATCTAATAATTAATGAAAACTTACCGAGTATAAGTTGAGCTGACACTAGAGACAGTAGGCTTCAATCGATAATCGTCGTTCATATCAAGAACGTTTGCAATGAGGCTCTTGCTACTTTTATTTTTCCGCTCCATTTCCCGCATCTTACGGTTGTTTGTTATGGTTTTCCATGTGATCTTCCTACCAGGCCTCTTCATACGTAGCACCCATGGAAGCCATTCAAGCAGTACCACTTTGACCTACAACCAATGCGACTCGTGTTAGTCATGACATCAAGTTCCAACCTCTAGATATCAGTCTCCTATCTGCCAATCGAGCTTAATGGGAGCGAACGTACTATATCGCAGCAACCAACAGTCATACAAAGTATTTATTATTCATTTATTCCCTCATTCATTTATTCTTCGGATAGTTCCGCAACTACTTCACTTTGCTTCTACTTCCACAGTTACTACCTACATCGTTTATACTTATACGTAGACAATATATTCTGCGTACGCTCAAATCCTTATTTTACTTACTACTTTTTTTATTTCGTATGATAATTAGATCATATACTTTCAAATTAACTTATATATTTCATCCATACGTTTATAACCAACTTAATAACTTTAATGCACTTAAGAACATGTAAGACCGATAAATATTTAAATTTTGAATAAAATATTGCGACGTTTTCTGACCAAGTAATTATTGAAGAAAAAATCATTAAACTTGGCAGAAGTACGTAAATAATAGTCCGTAAATTGATTCTTTTATTTTTAAATTTAATCATTAAAAAAAAGATAACTAAATGATTAATAAATATTAATCTTTTAGTTTGAGATTGATTTAATTTTTGGGTTATTCTTTATTTTTGTTTAGATTACTTATAAGCCAGAATTATCAAAATGCAGCTAGGTTAGGGTAGAAACCTAATTATCAACAAAAAATTTTATATATTATACTTTGGTGTCGACTGCAAGAAAGTGCCAAAAGTAAATTATTTAGTTTAATTTTTTTAAGCAGTGTTTAGAGTATATATAGTCAGTCTGATAACTTTCTTCAGTATATTTTACATGTGTTTCAAATAAACAAACCGATATATTCAATTTGCATTTGTTGTCACTGATCCAAACTGAATTACCGATTTTTCGACAGAATTTAATCATTACTATTTTTAATTTTGCATAAAATTTAAAATTTCAGGCAGTTTCAAATTTTTAGAAGTCAATTTTAAATTATTTTTGTTGATAATTTTTACTATCAATTTCTATGATTTTACAGTTTAAATTTTGATGATAAATATTAACGATTTTTATAAACTTTTTAAAGATAATAAAAAACGCTCGAAGTATTACATCATATGACAGAAATAACCATAGGGTAATTAAAAAAAAAAAGTTCCAACTCTATAAAAAATAATAGACTATTACTAAAACGTATCAATAACTGAATTTTTAAAACAAAAATGAATATAAAATTTCAGAGTTTATGACATTATCGCTCTATTTCATCATACTCTTTTTATGATGTTTCAATGAAGGTATTTTTATTCAAAACAAAGTGACAACTCTGACAAAAATAAAATGAATATTTAGTTTTCATAAACTCAAATTCGCTTCAATTTGCATTTTAAAGTCAATTTTTAAAAAACTCAAAAAGTGAATTTTTAATTATAAATAATGCTGCCTTTTTTTATTTAAAAAATTGAGATCTTTATTTATGATGGTTTATTCATGGACACAGTCAAAGGTATATTCATTTAATTTAAAATGTAAACAGACGGTAATGTAATAAAGAGTAAATACTAGTCATAGACTCAAGAAAATTATGCTGCATAGTATCATTGCCATTTTGATCTTAGATATCAATATTTGCCATGAAAATATAATTTATTACAGTTTACGGTTGAAAGACTTAATTACTATAAATTGGAGTGACTTTAGTAATTTAATTACATGGAAGGTATTTATACTTAGCTTAATAAGAAAAAGTTTTCAAAACCATTCTACTAAGCATTAATATATTTGAAATAATGTGAAAAAATTTTCATCTATGGTTATAAATGATAAAAAAAAATAATTTATTATAATTCTTCATTTTTTCTATAAATGTGTAGATTCATTAGAATGTTGTATAAAACAAAAATTGGTTTAGAAATTGATTAAACTATAAACTAATGTCTGGTACGTCCCTTAAGAAAGCCAAAAAATAATTTTTACTCTATGACTTAAAACCTCAAACTAAAATCTCTTGTAGAGAGATGATTTTGCGATCATGCGCCATCTGTCGGAAATTTTCAACACTGTTTTTGATCGAAAAATTACATCTAGGACCATATCAGACCATTTATGAGCATATCAAAAATTATAATCAGATCAGATCATATCCATATGATCTATATGATTTTATCATAAAATTTTTTCACAAGTTAATTCAAAAATTTTCAAGGGTTTTTAAAGCAAAGACAAACAACTAAGTAAAAAGTGCTTCTAGCTGCAAAAGGTTCCACAATACCCTCATTACAATTATTCTCAGTATCTGAATTGAAACATGGTGTTGAAAAGAATATAATGCTTTTCACCAACAAGAGTGTCATTACCTGAAGCTTTAGCCGAGTGCGGAGTGCTACTAACAGCAATTGGAGTATAAATTGAATATGTCGGCAAGTTACCATGGGGTTGTGTTCCGTAATTGGCTACCGAGGCAATTAGATCGGTACACCTTGAATAAGCTTTCTCCCTCTCCTACTTTCCTACCCTTGTGTATGTCCCCTTTCCAACACGTAACAATCTTTCTCTTACTCTTACCCTCACCACCCCTTCACCCACTTATCGCAAAACTTGGGAGCGTTAACGACTATTCTCACAGTGCCCAAATCGTTATTTGGAGTGGCTTAAATGTTCATTGGAACGATCGTAATTTTCACGGATAAACTCATATACTCTCTCTATAACCAGCAACAACAGCAGAACAATAACCTTTCTCTGCTCTTCACCACACTGTTTTCCTATTCATCCAAACGTAAACAACGGCCTTAAGCTAAGCATAAGTCACTTAATTAACAGCCAACTCTTTGAAGCAAACTACTAAACATATTGCTACGGTATACCTCAGCTTTATTGTCCCTCCGCTTCCACTAAATCTTTCATCGTCTTTTCCATGCACAAACAAAAAGATAAAAACAAAGCATATTTCTTCATCTTATTTTTCTTTTCCTTTTATTTGCCCAAGGTATTGGTACTTAATTTAAAAAACTTTATCATTTATTTATTGCCTTTTGTTCAGCATACACTGGATTATGTCTCGCTATGAATATGATTTCCATGTTTTATAAGTTCACAAACGGAATAAAATTCCACGGAAATAAAATTCTCATCGTCGTACCGTAAGCTTGAGTGAGTCTTAAGTCTGTGAGTTTTTTTTTTTTTTTTACTAACGAGAAATTCAATATTTGTAAGACGAAATTTCGTTATTATTTGTTTGAAAAATATCCAATTTTTTTTATCATTTAACATAAAGGATTGTTTTTAAAAGACCAGCGCTCTCTCTTACAAATTTCATTAACCTTTGAGAAATGTAATTAATTAGTTAGAGTGCCCAAGATCTCTTGTCTTCTGACAATTTTTGGGTGATGGTAATTGCAATTAGACTCCGCCCTCGCTGAAATTAATCTCACTGTAGAATATTTTCTACAACTTTTAACAAATAGTTTTATTAATTCTACTCTGAAATGTTGAAGCACAATAATATTGTGGTTTTATGAACCAATATAGATACTCAGTGGCTCGAAAATATTTAAATTACGCTTCATTGTTCGGTTACACATGTATATGAGATATAATTGTTGAAACTTTTAAATGAGATGTAATAATTCTCGTTAAATATGTATTAAATAAAGGGTGCAGATTTCGATAATTAAATAATAGTTTGAATTATTAGCTCAAAATTATAATTAAACGTGAGATGAATATTTAATAGACATCCAAATGAATGAGACAGAACAAAGCTTGTTATGTATCACCTCATTTTCTATTCATTATTGTTGTTGTGTCACATACATATGATATTTAATTATCAACATAAATAAAATTATTTCGCGTGTTGTGATACATTGTTAATGATAATTGAATCATTACAATGCTGCATAATTTTCGAGTAATTTCTAAGCTGTAATTGTTTTGGTTGTGCGAATTAAAAATAAATAAACTTTTTTTATCATCTGAAATGGGTAATAAAGTTTCAAAGCTTGGTTTTAATATTCTAAGCAAAATATTTCAAGCCAGTGCAAATTTGATTGCAAAAACTAATTAGCTCCTTTCTAAGGAAATATATTCTAGCTGGTTTTTACCCGCTTCATCACTTTTTGGCTTTCTTTAAAGCTTGTCAAAGTTATAGTTGTGAATATTAGCCTTAAAATTTCGAATTTAATTATTCAATGTGTTAAAATAATATATTTGAGTTGTATATAGTTATTAATTTTTTTAAATTGATAATTTGATTTCAAAATCTTCTGGATTTCAAAATCTTCGAAACCTTCCAAATTTATAATATAAGTAATTGAATGCATAATGCACCTACTGTTAAAATTTGGAGACGATTTACCACTTCTAACTAAAGATAATTGCAATTGAAAATCGACGTTCTAATTAGCAAATTGTTTAACTCCTTTTTAGAAAATTTTCTATTTGTACGAAAAAAACAATTAGTTCAAAATTTATTATCACTTAAAAAAACCATTTTATATCATTATTATTTAATAGAGATATAGTATTTAGGTTTGAATCATTCAAATATATTTATAATTTATCATTCGATTATGGCTACATCAAAATGTCAAAAAATCACCCTCTAAAAAATAAGGAGTTAGACAAATTGCTAGTTAGACTGTCGAAATGATATTTTTACACAAGCGGTATAGGAAAAGAAAGAGAAAACTGCGGTTTTATTATTTTTATATTGAAGAAATTTTAAGAATTTCACGAAAAACTAATATTATTTAGATTAATACATGTATTATTACCCTAAAAAATTCTAATAAACTAGTAAAGTAAACAAATAAAGTCATGCGTGGAAATAAATGAGCAATAGCCCATAAGAGAGGCGACACTAGCGAATGAAAAAAACAGCAGTAGCATAAACTATAGGTTGCAAAAGAGTTACCTTAAAAAAAAAAAATTTAGATAGCTTTGAAGGGGAAAATACACCGAAATTTATTAATTTATGGAAATTTTACTTGTTTTGTTCAAAATTTCCAACAAAAATTTGACTTCTACTCTTGTTTTGATGAAACTTTATCAAAGATTTGACTATTGGCTCTTCTATCATTAAAGTATACCCTTGATTCAGAAAGATGATTTGAAATGATTATCTTCATATTAATTGTATAT